GCTAAGCCATCGAAAGCTGCTTTTGAATTAAAAAACATTGTTGGCAATGACAACATCTTTAATTAAAGCTTGGGATTTTGAGTTTGTGACGTCAGCACCATATCACCAGAGAGGAAATGGTAAAGCAGACGCTACAGTTAAGATTCCAGAGATTAATTAAAAAGGCTTAGGAGAGTGGAGAAGAACTCTGGTATATTTTGCTACTTTGGAGAAATACGCCAAATAAAATAGGCTTTAGTCCTTCACAGAGGATTTTTGAAAGAAGAACCAGAACATGTTTTTCCTATAACTACAAAATATATCAAGCCTGAGGTAGTGGAATACGTGCAGAGGAAAATTGAAATGGCCAAGAAGAGTAGCAAATATTATTATTACAATAAAACAAAAAAAAAAAAAAATCACCTGAGTTGGAAATTGGTCAGGCGGTAGCAGTGCACGTACACCCCGATAAGAACTTGACGTGGACACGAGGGGTAGATCAGGATAGACTTAAAGCTATGGATTATATTGTTGAGGGGGGAGGAAAAATACAGACGCGACGTCGTAAATGTGAAACTATTCCCAGGGCAAACAAACCAATCTCGAGTGAAAGATGTCATCCCCAATGATCTTTCACCACCACTCGATATGAAAGTATTTGCGAAAATCTCTGACAATGAGTAAAACTTTAAAGAACCAAGAACCATTGGAAAATACAATATCAATTGATTCAAGTTTCAATCAACACTTGATGCAAGACCTAGAAGGAATGTGAAGATGCCTTTAAGATTTGATGATTTTGCTTTTACAAAGTGTTTATTTATTTTTATTCTTTGAATATATTGTATTATTTTTTAGTAATTGTATACATGTGTTAATAATGTTATTAGAGTAAATATTAACTATATTTTGTAAAAAAAAATCAAAAATTTTTATAAAAACCTTATACAGTGAAGGGGGACATTGTTTTGTTGGTATGCTCTAGAGAGTAGAGGGACTTGTTAGTAGGCGGAAAGGTAAGAGAGTCAGGTAAGAGAACATGTGGAATAAAGTGGGCTGAATTATGTTACGTGTATTATTTCAATAGCCACTATAACGCATTTATTGCCCATTCGGGTGAACCTTCTAACCAACATTATTATTATATGCGTAAATGATCGGGGTTGTGATAGATCTATAAAAAGATATACTATTATACTTAGATTTTTGTAATGTGGCGCGTTAGGGACTGTCTTCACAATTGAATACCTCACGGTACTTCGTTTCTTTCTCGGTCGCTAGAAGCCGCTGGACACATCGCACTGCTTGATATGGTCCCGATTTACTCTCTGGTCTCGACTATGCGACATCTAGCGGCAGGACCGAGAAAGTCGCGAAATACCGCGAAATACTGCGTTAAGGTGTCAAACAAATTTGGTGTCAAATAGAAGTTTCGAATTTGGCATGTTTGGCATGAAGCAAAGAATCGCAAAGAATGTTTCGCCCTCTTTGTACTATGCCGTTGCCAGGATTGCTTTCTTCAAAGCTTAGAGAATTGGGATTTATGTATTGCGACGATGTTTGTATTGATAGAAACGGCAAACCAAGTGCGTACTCATTAATTTTGGCTAGTGTTAGTAACTACGCTCCCAATTTAAAACCGATTTGTTTGCAGTTTTGGATCCCGTTGCAGAAAAAGTGTTGCGGCAATGGAGTGACGAGCCGTGTACATATTGGAAAGAATTACTTGCCACTCCAGCAACAAAGAATGCCTTCTCTCATTTGCAGGTGATAATTGATTTTTATTTCTCAATACCTTTTGACGAGGAACTGAAATAATAACTAACTTCATGAACCTTAATTTTTTTATACATTCAAAATTTCTCATTTTATGGTTGTATGACAGTTGTTCTTCTACTTTGTTTATAAAAGTGGAAGAATGAATTACAAGAGAGAGTTCATGTGGCGTCTGATTGTTTTGAAAATAATAAACAGGGAAGATGAAATATACCAAGTAGTGAACAAGGCATTCAGATGTAATTGTTGTGTATTTTCTTTCTCTGATGTTCTGTTAAAACATATTTGGCCTCGTCAGAAAGATTAATACAAAACAGAAATTGATATAATTTTACTTGAGTGGACAACAAACGACAATGAGTTACTTTTAAAAAATTAATTTTCATCAAGTGATGATTTGGAGAATTTACGTTTTGGACATCAATTTTGAAAACCTGGGAAATTTAGTAAAGTAATAATTACTATTTGTGTATAATATAAAATATTAATTCCGTACTGTTTAACCCCATGAACATCAAACATCGTTAACATCATGAAAAATATAGATGCTCAGTGCATAGAGCAACACAATGCAGAATTAATATGTATTAAACGGCACTTGGGTTTCACAGACCATCCGAATGCACTGATGTGTTATGTCATAAAAACTTTATTCTTAAATAAAACCTTTAAAAAAGTTAAAACTAGTTGATAATATAAAAATTATATTTTATGCAATAAAACTATGAATCTTGCAAATTTGTCCAGTAAAATTCCAAAATGTGCAATTTTCAGGCAACATTACCTAAAATGTGCAATATCGTTCAGTAACCCCCCCCCCTCCCAAACGTGCAATTTTTTGCAAAATAAAATGGATACTAAAATAACATCCTCTTTGTTTTAAATTTCTGTCAAGGTTTCATTCAATTTCAGGTTAGCAAAGAGAAGATGCAGTAACATGGGAATCCAGTCTTCAGTAATATTGTCAACTATCCACAGTAGCAAAATTGTATCAATTTCTCTATGTTGTAACAGTTTATTTGAAGAGGTCAAAGATCATTTGACAAAATGTTATGAAAAATAAAATAGATTACAATTAAAACTGAAATCTGTGTTCAGTTGTCGATCCATTTCAGTGGCGTAATGTGGGAGGCCCAGGTAAATGGGGGCCTATTTTTAGGGATATTTTTATTATTTAAGGTACTGACCCTGGTTTGTTTTACAATACATCTTTATAAAGAGGGCCCAGATAAAAGTTTTGCAGATGGGCCCGCATTCATTTCATTATGCTTCTGATCCACTTTGTCTTTTTCATCCCTCCTGTAGAGACGTTGCACAACTTCAATCAAGTAAAATTTCATTCCCTTTTAAAGTTTTGTTTATAAGCTGTAGTTTAATTATACAAGTTTTCTTTAAAGGTACAATTGATAGGCCAGATAATTTTGAATTTTGAATTACTTTCTGCGTCTGAAACTAACTTGTATACACAGTGTCAGCACAAAGCGATTTCCTGAGATGGGTGTTCCTGCAATGTGAATAAATTAACTGATATGACTGATAGAGAGGGAAGTGGGCTAGTGAAGTACTATCTAAACCTTTTGTTGACTGAGAAAATTACCTTGGGTTTAGTATCCCTAGTACAATAATCAGTATTTAATGAATTTATCAATTGTTACTTAATTAAATTATTGTGTCACGTGAATTATACAAATCGTAAATAATAAGCATATAATTCATATATTATAAATAGAAATAATCAGATAATTGAAAAGTAAATTTACAAATTCTTTATTTATAAGCATTGGAATTCTTCAGGATGAATGTGATCTTGGGAGAATAGAAACTTTTTGTCGGTCATTGGATGAATATATGGATGGTGGAGTTCCTTTACAAAGAATTACTGAATTTAGTGGTGCTCCAGGATCAGGAAAAACTCAGATGTGGTGAGTTTACTTTAAAATTTTTTGAATTGGTTACGATTATTTCCATTAGAATATAAATTAGCTCTCTGGAAATGTATGAATACTTCTTTAAATACGGTTACCTAAGTTGCAATGGTTTTTCAGCCTTCAGCTGTGCGTTGATGTCCAAATCCCTCGAGCATTTTGTGGTTTGGAGGGACAAGCAGTTTTTGTTGATACGTGCAGTGGATTTACAGTATCTAGGTTGTTAGGTAGGGATTTATTTGTATTTTGTCATTAGCAGGTTTACAGTAGTGTTGCATGTTAACACGTTTCAGTGTAATAATGAAGAGTAACAGTTCATTAAGTTAGAATGAAAATACTGACTGACCTCTATGTACTACTATACTTTCTGAAAATGCTGACTGGCTGCTATTTACAATTGATAGGTTTACTACTAATTTTTAATTATTAAATTATTCCAATTTAAGTTCATTTTACAGAAACATTTATTTAGTTGGGTTTTTACTAAATAAAATAAAATGAAACGAAATGTTTTGAAGTTATGAATTGCCAAAAATATAATTAATTTAAAATGCAAAACTCGAGAATGCTCACATACATTGACACGTCTTTGCCTCTATTTAGAATTAGATCTTTTTGATTTACTTTTAAAATTTAAAGTTGGTTTGATGTAATTTGAAGTTTGGTATGTTGGTCAGAGTTCAATTCCAGGGGGGAAAAATTATTAGCTCTTTGCTGCACAGAAAAATGGGAGATGTTTGTATTGGAACAGTGATTAAGATTTAAATCATGTCTTGTTAACTACACCAATACTTATGAATCTAAATTTATTTTTCATGGTATTCCTATTCCTGAAATTATCTGGCCTTGTGTTCTATAGAAAACAGATTCATGATTGATGTTTTTTGATGTTATGACAGAAATAGCAGAAGCCTGTGTGAATCATTGTTCTACGCTTGCCAGAGATGGACTTAATCAAAATATGCTGCAAGCTATGAAACATTTTTCCAAAATTTCCATCTTGGAAAACGTTTTCCATGTACTATGTTTGACTCATGTTGACTTGATGGCGAGCATAATCTATTTGAAAAAATTTTTATCAAAACACAAACAGGTAATACTTAAAGGCTTTTTTGTTTGTTTTTTTCCAGAACCAGTAGTTATTTATAATAAAAATTAATAATTTAAAAGCACTTTGCAATCTTGTGTTGCAACAAATCTTTGTACTGCCAAATTTGGTGGAGACCAAATATATAAACATATATATTCTGGTAATGGAATAAAATTGAGAGAGAATCATAGCACCAACCATCATGAATTCTTTAACTGAAGAGAAGTGTAAGAATGAGAAATTTATTAGTGTGTCTCAGTGTATTGTAACTTTCATATCTGGTATGAAATAATTAATGTGAAGGCAGATTGCATGCAATTTGTTCTTCTCACTTATGCTACGTCCTGCTCTTAGACCCTGGAGTGGGACTGATTGCCCTTTCCTGTCACTGACAAAGTTTAGCATTTTTGCATGGCCATTACTAGATTTGACTAGTGTGTGGGTCTATCTTTCTGAAGCAGAGGTGTGTTCACAATATCATGTAATGATGAAATCGTCATATCGATAGGCGTCCAGTTTTGGCATTGTGGAAATATTTTGGTTTTAGTTTCATTTTTTGATAAAAAAAACTTCAGATTTAGAAAAGTTTCAAATTATTACAAAATTTATTCCCTTAAACTAAATATTACTTACGTGTGTGATTAAAATTTGTTCAGTTTCTAAAGAATTCCTAGGCATACATTTTAATTTTCAAAGAAATAGTGTAATCTAGTAGTAATCTCAGAAATTGATGTTTACAATTCTTAAATATTAACCAGTAAAACAACTGGCACTAATTATGATGCTCTTTTGAAAACTGAAACTGATTCATTTAGTAATGGTATACTTTTAATGAAAAAAATACTTTCGCTTTCAACCTTGCAATGTAAACGCTTTTGGTTTGATGCCTATGTTTTTATTTTTATATTTAGATAAATGTACATTGAATTTTTATTGCTTTTGCAATTTAATTAATTAATGTACATATGTTTATTAGGTGATGACTTTTTTACAACCTCATTTTCTTGTGTCATAATTTGATGAGCTTTCGTTAAAGATAAAAAAAAATCTTACTTTGACAGTTTGATAAAAGAAACCTCGTGCACAAAATGATTTGAAAAATTAATTTATAAGTTTTTTGCTTTATTGTAAAGTCACTGTAAGTAGATACAAGATTGAACACAAGCTTGAGGGTTACGTTATGTATACAGCAGACTTATACAACATTATGTAGGGTTATCAAACTTACAAATAAGTCAATTATTCACGATAACGTCATTGGACAGGATGAATCTTAGTGGGAGGTTGTCTTTGCTGTGGCCGGAGTTGTGCAAGTCTGCATAACTGTGATTGCAAGTGCATGGCTCTGCTTACTTCAGGTAATGTTGATAGGAGATTGATTCCAGTGGCTTTTCAAGCATTTGAGGCCTGTTGAGTTGTCCTTCAGAACTCCAGATAATTCATCAAAATCTTCAGTGCGGAATATTTGACTGCTGAACCAATGGTGAGCCCAGGAGGAGGAAATGAATGAACAAATTTTATGCAGCCTGTTCCGGATTTCAGGCAGCAGAATAAACGCAAGAAGGACTAGAATGGCAAGGGAGCTTTAGCATGCTTTGCTAATGTTTGGAATATTTTGAAACTTCATGAAGGGGATTTCGTTCCTGTCACTGATGTGGCTGATGACAGAAGACATGAGGGAGGGGGGTAGAAATACTTCATATCATCTCTCCAGCCGCCTGTTTTCTTAATCTCAGTTTTATTGTTGTTGAAGGCTGCATTCAAATTAACATAATTGCTCTCTAACACATTCACTGCCAAGCCCATTCTTGCTATACTGGGCCTAGGAAACGTACAGATTTTTCTCCATGCCAACAGTAATTGATGCACCTCTATTCATGCTAGAACATTGAAATTTGTACTAATATGATTATAATATTATAAAGAATTAAATTTATTTACAAAAATATGAGTTCATATGGATTTGCAGGAATATTTTGCAGCTATTAACACTATAATGAGACCAGTAGTGTGTATTATCTTAAAAAGATCAAGCCAAAGCACGAGACCATAGGGTCTCACACTAAAAAAAACTTGAAAGTCAGTACGAGACCATGGCCGTTCATGGCCCTGCATGGTAGACAACATGTTAAATCCTACACAAAGAAGTATTTGATCTTCGGTGATTTAGTCACCCATGGAGCTTGTTGTCTATGGCAACACAAAGAAAGCAATCCAGCACACAGTGCTGGCAACTGATGAACTTGGTTTTGGGGTGACGTTTCTTTACGAACATTTTCTGCAGCCAAACAACATGCCTGTCTTCTTGCTGGCATTCACTCTTCTCGTGTCAGCAACAATCATCACAACTGATCCCCAAAGGTTAATCTCTTCTCACATACCCTGGAGTCCTTCTGCGATTGTTTGAGCTTTCCCATCTTTCAAATTCAGCACAGACAACTTAATTTCTTTTTCTTCATTCCTGAGGACCACGACAAGGTATTTGGTCCTCAATGCATTTGTCGCAAAGTGTATGCTCCACTTCTCCGTATGAAGTGTGCTCCCAACTGCTTCTTCACCTGAGCAGCTCTCGTGTGGAGAGTCTTGTGGATTACTGACTGACACGGGTTTGGTATTTCATCATACATTTGCGGCTCCTTAGGACGATAGCTTTTATCTTGTAACAAAACATCTTGCAATGCGTGTGTGTTATGCTTCCTTGTGCTCGTTGATGCTGCTTTTAACCTCCCAAGCTCTGAGTCCTCGTAACTTGTCAAACAATGAGGTGGAGCTGAGCTTGTAAGTGTTGATGTTGACAACGTCTGTTCCATTGTCTTCCTTCTCTTGGATGGGCTTTACATTGGCACACTTGCCAGTGGAATAACCAACCTGGCTCATGCTCTCAATTCGTAGAGGTTCTCACCCTCTTTGCTCATCCATTCGCCTTTCACCGTGGTCATGTCAAACAGGTCATTCAGTGAATCAAAGTTTTATTTCTTTCTGCATCGCTCAGGTTTTCAAGTCTTTCAGAAGGTTCACTAGTTTTGCAGAAATGGCTTGATGAGATATATGCATTAAGTTCCATAAGGCTTTAAGCTCCACGGCAATTAGACCTACCCCCCCTCTCTCTCTCTCTCGCTCTCGCTCTCTCTCTCTCTCTCGCTCGCTCGCTCGCTCTCTCGCTCTCTCTCTCTCTCGCTCTAGCTATCTCTCTCTCTCTCTGTGCATGGACTCAAGAAATTTGAAACGTCCAGTGACATGGTTTTTCAGGGGCATACGACTCTATTCACTCAGTAGTGCTTTATAAATTTCAATACAATGTACTTCTTTTTAGTCATTAACAGGAAAAGGTTCATCAGCTTGTGCCCCAGGAAATAATTTTTGAGAAAAAAATGAAAAAGTCGTTACTCTAATGTTATATATGTATGTTATATTTTATATCCCATAAGTTATGGGGAATTTTAATTATAAGGGATACTCTTGTAATTTTCTTTAAATTTTGGATTTTTTCTGATATTTTCCTTAGTTAATGCATGTTGCATAATGGAAGATAAGTTACTATTTAAGCACTAGAAGCATACTGAGTGCAACCACACAGTATATTTTAAATCTTTGTATATCATAATAGCATCATTGTGGCAATATTAGTAGTACCTATGCTTTCTTCAACTCACTAATGCACTGCAGGTTGAGGAGAGAGCACAGTGTTCTCTTTTGAATTTCTATAGCCATTATACAACATTCAATAATTACAAAGGTTTGTTGTTCCTTCTAGCTATTATTTTAAATACTAATGAAGAAAGGAAGTCTATTAAATGCCTCATTAGTACTAAATGCTAGATACATTGTTGTAAGTATCATTCTACTTCATGTTAGAAAATTCATTCTGCTTCTTATTCTAAGTGGGATTTAAGGTTAATGTTGAATAGTGTTAATGAATGTAGTTGTAATGCCAAAATATACGAGTTAAATGATCATTCATCTAATAGCTTTAGCAAAGAAGTTTTCAGAAAAATATTATGAAGAATATTCTGAATATTTCAGGGTTTTAGTTGTATTTAAAATCTGTTAAAATTTTGAAATATATTTTATCCTGCTTTTGTGTATCAGTTTATGAAATCGTTACCTAGCTTTCATGTGAACTTAATTTTTTTTATTTTTAAATATTGTCATGTTGTAGGTGAGGCTCATTGTAATAGATAGCATCACATTCCCTCTCCAAACAATTGATAATGCTCTGCAACGTGTGAGTTTATTGTACGACTTGATGGAAAATCTTCGAACAATTGCTTCTGAATTTGATGTTGCAGTAAGTATAATATAAAAGCAATTTATATAAATACTGTAATATGTATAATAAAAATATAAACTTTCAGAAATCCCCAAAGAAAGAAATCGTATGGAGTTCAATCAGGAGAGCGAACAGTCCACAAACAAAGCGTGATAATTGTCTGTGAACCCTTAAGGAAACTGAAGTAGTGTCAGCGGTTACGGAGACCTGTTGAAAATGACCGTAATTTCACTCATTTGCTATTTGAAAGAAAGGCTCCAGGTTCATAGTGGTTTGACACATTTTACATATGTGTCACGTACAATCACTTTCTTTTTGTGAGAACCTCAAGGTGCCATCGCAAACTAATTACAAGACTGAAAAGCTTGCAATTGCAGGGCAAGCTTTGAAACGCTCCTGTCCGCTGAGCGTATCATTCCCAGGCCAGGCCAGTTGAGCGTATCATTCCCAGGCGAGTGCCAGCCCTTCGGCCAAGCAGAATTGTCTACGATCGCAGCACACCAGTAAAATAGTCGCATCATATGTGCAAATTTACTTCAACTATTCCACTCACGAAATTAAACCAGTAGTGTTTAACAATACATGCAAATGCCCCATTGAGGTTGGAGTATCCCAAAAAGTGAATCGCTTTTTCTATCCAATTTTCCTTCCTGCTTCTCCCTTCTGGACAATCATAAACTGTGACTCGCCTATCTTAGAAGGAGATATACATCGATCTCAATGTCGATGCACCATAAACCGTCTACTATTTATAAAATAACCTCTTTGATTTTAACATGTCTTCTATATGTGGTGCATTTATTTTTTTTATTATTTATTTATTAACAGACTGTGAAATACAAATAATATAATACAAGTATGTTTTCCACAAACCAACAGTTTTTTTCAAGAACTTGTTTATGAAAGAAAATACAGAAAATAATCGGAAAATATAACTAATAAACAAAGAAAAGAAGAACGAAGCATATATTACAAAAGAAAAAGAAAATTCGAAATACAGAAAGTAAAAAAGTAGTTATCACAATATAGTTTAATTTCATAATTCTCATTGAAAAACTGAAGAAACTGTCTCATCGCTAAGCTCAATTATAAAGTTTCTAAGCAATTTCTTGGAATTTTTACGCAGTTTATCGTAGCTGGTATTTTTCAGTTCACTACTCAGTAAATTAAAAATCCTATAACTAATATAATTATGGTTACGTCGACTGATTTCTTTCACAATTTTCGGCGGTACTAATAACTTGTTTCTCTTATTATTTTTACATAGTGATATATATTTCTGTTTAAGATAGTCAAAATTATTCAAAAGAGATTTTTCTAAGAAAAATTTCCTTATAGAGACAAGTCTATACGTTTTAAAAAGTAATTCAGAGGAATATAGTTTGGTTTTTCTATAAACGATTTTAAGTATTCTCTTTTGAACATCTTGTAGCATTTTAATTGCGTTATAATACGCACCACCCCATGTTATAATTCCATAACTCGCAATATTCCAAAATAATGCATATTACATTATTAACAATTGTTTTTCGCTAAAAATACTCCGCAATTTATAAAACACATAAATTAAATAACGGACTTTATTTGTGACTTGTGTGATATGATGTTTCCACTTCAAATTTGAGTCAACACATATTCCAAGATATTATCCTGAATTCACTTGTCAGAAATGGACAATGACACATATCACTATTAATATCACACGAACAAGTATGTAACTGTAGCTCAATATTTGAAGGTATGCTGTCAACATAACTACCATAGGTTATGGAAACAGTTTTTTGTATATTTAAGGTTAGGAAATTTACACTCAACCATTTTGCAATTAGACTCAATTTAGCTTGTGCTAAATCCTTTACTTCAGACCAAGTTTCAGCATTAACAATTAGCATAGTGTCATCAGCATTTTGGAACTTTAATTAATTTCACTTGTGGAATAGTATTAAATACCGCTTGTGCTCTGAAAATTGGCGAGTCTGGGATTCATTGACAATTTCCAAAACACTCATTGTACTCAAAGCCCTATGAGAATGTTTTAAGCAATTTTTGAGAAACGTCGATGGTACCTTTCTGCTGGATCAGATCGACTAGGGAATATTGATTTTTGAAGAAAAAATCGTATGAATAGTTTGGGTCTTCGGGTGGATGGACATTTTGGAAAAATAGTAGTTAATGCTATTAGTTTATAATCTTAAGCTTTACTGCATGGGTACATGTTTTGAAAACATTATAAATGAGTTGCATATGCTATTTCTTTTTATATTAGTATTGTAAATTTATAACAGAATCAAACAATTTTGCGAAACAACTTTCTTGTGACATCTCCGGTATTTGCCATATTAGCAAGAATACGGTGGTCAACTGTTCCATTTACCTTTACCTCACCACGATTCTCTCGCTGCATCTGGATGAACGTGTGATGGCCCAGACATTTGCACGCTAAAATGCCTGATTATTAACGATTTCTTGCAACAGAAAAGGTCATTTATAATGCTGGTTTACAAAAATCAGTTTCGGTATCATTGGACCCCAAACTATTTTCGATAAAATCTCGAAATAGATTTTCCACAGCATTACATAACTTTCCTTGTACAACGTTTATTACTTAATGAACGTTTGTATACAAGAAAGTAAAAGTAATACCAGGATTGCATTCCTAGATGTTCCTCTAATTATTTTTGAGAAATGAATGATACTTAGCCATGTAATTTTTCATATTATATTTGATGTAAAAAATGTACAATTTGTAAACCATAGATTGTATACCTATGTAATGTAATCAAAAATTTTGTATAATATACTACATTGATTGATTTTAGGTTGTTGTTACCAATAATCTTACTACCAAAGTGGAGACTGAAAAAGAAAGCAGTCTAATACCTGCATTAGGAGAAAGTTTTGGCCACAGTGTTAATTACCGTTTTTTGCTTGGACGAATGTCAGATAGTAATTTTGTGTGCGTGAGCGGAAAGAATTTAAACAAGTCTTCTCTGACAGTTCCATTTCAGGTAAGCTTTTTGTTATAGGTTTATTGTCTCTTGATTCCTATAACTTGACAAGCATTTTCCTGTATCATTACACAAATTGGACTAAAATGGAAGTTTCAGGTCTGTTTTCATATTGCAAATCTATTGAAAGTAAAGAACGCACGTAGTATTCCACAAAATGTTATTCCTCAATAAGTAATATAACAGTTTGGGATACAAATAATCATGTTGTGAAACCTGCCGTAATGGTTAATTACTCAGGCTGGTGCGCAGAGTGCGTCATGCATGCTCTTTGCTTTCTTTCTCTTCTTCTCTACTTTGCATCTCGCATCATAGTTCACGGATATCATTTTTTAAAGTTCCTTTAATGGCAGAATTCAGTGTTTTAACAATACCTTCTATTAACTTTATACAAATAATATTTTATTTATTTGTTAAGGCATCATACTTGGTTAGTATTTGTTGGTAGAGCAAATTATATGAACACACACACATAGACACAACGTACACACACTCTCTCTCTATTGCACTCTCTCTCTCTCTCTCTCCACCCTCTCCCTCTCTCTCTCCACCCTCTCCCTCTCTCTCTCCACCCTCTCCCTCTCTCTCTCCACTCTCTCCCTCTCTCTCTCTCCACCCTCTCCCTCTCTCTCCACTCTCTTCACCCTCTCTCCACTCTCAAAAGCCCCCAGCAAGTAATTTCCAAAATAGTGTTGTGGACCTTGCTGATATTGTACTCTTGCGAGCTTGTTATGCCTCAGGGCAGTGGGATCTTTTCGGGTGTTGAGAGCAAATCCAATAACAAGAACACAAATCAGTTAAACAGGGTTTAATAATCTTAAAAACCTTTCCATTGCTTACAAAATCACCCAAAATCAAAAATGAAACCCAATAGCACAAAAAATTGAAACCCTTTCAATGAAGCAAGAGTTAATCGTTAAACTACTTTTTTCTCTCTCTCTTTATATTTTTATTTCTATACAAATGCACTACGTTGCGCTAATGCGATTTGCAGGTTCGCACACACGCTTTTGCCTCAGCAAGTTGTGGAGAGATAGAGCGTGAGAGAGAGCACGCGCATAACTTAATTAAATAAATAAATTAACTTATTAACTATTCTCACAAATAATCAGTGGATATTCACTTTGTTACTCTGACTAATTAAATTGGCTGCAATTCCTATTTACATTAACTAGTGACATAATATACATTGTAAGACTCCATTCAAATAACTTTACTACAAAAACACCTGCAGATGGACCACACTCTCTACAATTGTGATGGTGAAAGAATGTCCTCTTTGTGGAAGGTTTGAAATATGTGTAAATAATTTTAGATATTGAGTTAGAAAAAGATACATTAAAACACCACTCAAAGCATCTAAACCATATCGCGGCACACACAGAAGTGAACGAGAAACACGGGTGGCAAGACAATAATGTCAATACTGATGGCACTGTCAACCAGCACATTCTGTGGACACGGGGACACCGTGTACACATTGTCCCAACATTCTTCAACTCTTCTGGAAGAGTTCGGTTAAAGTTCTCGAATATTTTAGGGTAGGTAGTATCTCGAAATGTCAGACAAGAAGGGCAATGATTGCACTTTTATATTGTTTAAATTTATTTTCAATTCTTATTAGATCATTTTTAAGTACTACACTCGAGGATGAAAAACCAGACAACTGTTCTCTTTTTATTGCTTGGTGCTTTTATTTATTGCTTTATTAGAACTTCAATAGAAATTTTCAATGTGAAAATATTGTTAAAACAGTTTAAAAGTATTTGCGACGCCACATTCAGCTAGCTAGCAATAAGTGAAGCCGACTGAAAACGCTCTGAGCAGAAAACATACAAATAACTGACGAAAGTGAGCCACAGTTCAGAGAAACATAAGGGTGTTTTTCAAAATAATTTTGATGAAGAAATTGTCTTCCCTCTGTTTTTATGATTGTGGGGGATACCTAGCCACAGAAAAAGAATCTCTCTATTCTATATGCTATTTGAATGAATAATAAAAATTCCGTTTACTGGTTCAAAAAGTTCCGTATTGCATATTATAAACAATATAGAGTTTAATTATATGTGCTGTAATGAAAGACAAAAGTCTGCACTAAAACTATGTAATGCATTATACTACACTCATTTTAAAAGTATTTTGCATTACTTTTAGAAGAGCATACTTGTTTCATGTAAATTTCAAATGACATGGAATCCTATGTTTCCTGTAGTACATACTTTATTTAAAACCCTTCATATTGCATATTATATACAATTTTACTGCTTATAAATCTGGGCGCTAAATGTGTCGCATGCAGAATTCGCACACTTCAGGAATATATTATTTTCATATTTTACTTTTACAGATAACGAGATCTGGAATTCGTGAAGTTCAGAACAATTGATCGATGATCACCTTGTTAAGAGAAGCCTTGGAAACATCTTATGTTTTGTTAGAGAAAGTTAAGATATATGGAAATTTTCTTCTGTATTCAATATTTTACCTGTTTAGAAATGTTTAAATTATTTAATGCTAATTTTTATTCATTAAGAATTTAGCACATCATTGCTTTGTTGAATTTTCTCAATTAAAATTATTGTTTAAAAAACTAATGTCTTGTATATATTTCATAAAATGTATTCAGTGTAAATATTCTAGCCAGAACTATGAATTAAAAAATGCTGTAATAGATTCAAAGCTTTGTTGTAAATGTGATTAATTTTATCTACGTTTCTGTTTCCAAAATAGTTTATTCATTTGAACTGAAACACCATTGTGTTGACTATTAATTTTTTCAACATGGAAGCTTGCAATTCAGCAACTATCTTGTTTCCAAATCCATTGTAATTGTATTGAACTGAAAATGTAAATATATTTTTTCATGTAGTGCAAGTAAGGAAAGATTTTAGATTTGTAGATACCGCCCTGTTTTTTATAGTAAAAATGTTTATTCAACAGTTTTTTTTTGTGTACGAATGATTAATTTGTTTCTTCTTCTTATGGCTGAGTAGTCCATAAGTGAACTTGAGCTTCTTCAGGATTTCTGTCCATGTATCTCTTGTCCATTCCTTCCTCCTTTTTCACTCACACGCATTTCAGGTCTTCAACACCATCCAGCCATCTGAGGGATGGTATTCCGACTCTGCGGGCGCCAACAGGTCGCGTCAAAGCCAATTCTTTACACACAGTTGATTCCGGCAAGCGACAGATAAGGCCAAGCCACCTTAGTAGCCAGTTTGATTTCTTTAACGATATTGTTGCTATTGTATAATCATCTGCGTAGGCCAAGAGTTGTACCGATTTCCTCATCGTATCTGTAACTACGATACCGGAAACACATATTGCTTTTTCTAAAGCAGTGTTAAAGAGTAAGCATGACAATGCATCCCCCTGTCTCAATCCATGTGCACAGCCAAAAGGATTGGATGTCCATCTGGTTACTTTTACTCTGCACTGTACTTGAATAGTTGCCTTTACCACCCTGACAAGTTGTGCCAAACTCTTCCATGGCCTCAATTAGTTTCTCCGTGTTAATAGTATCATGTGCTGCTTTGAAATCAATAAATAGATAAAAAGTGCTCACACTATATTCCGTGGTCTTTTCGATGATTTGTCTCATCATATCAATGTGATCGGTTGTTGATTTCTTCTCCCTCAAACTACATTGGTAATTTCCGATAAGTGGTTCAGTGAACTGTTTAAGCTGTTCACAGAAAATATTGGAGATCTTATATCCTGTGTTCAACAAACTAATTCCTCTATAATTTGTTACACCATTTTAAAAAAAATGTTTTGTATTTTATTGTTTTCTTGATAAATAAATTTTTCAAAAGGAGAATCATTTTACACTTGTCTGCTACTTCGTGTTAAGTAACTTAAATTTTATTTATTTTGAGAACGGAAATTGTCGTAATAGTTTTTTATAACTTCGTGATGTTTCCCCCTAAAGCGCAGATGCCTGTAATGCGTTGCAAATCAGTGACGGCTTGTGACAAATGTAAGAGTTTGCGCGACAACCAAAAATAATTCGTTCTTTAAAAATGCGAATGAGAAAATTTCTCGTATAACCTCCAGAGATGTATGGCAGCTGATGCTTAGGACACTTTCCAACTTCAAATGGACCAAAGCGGCCCGGCGAACCCTCCGTCCGTGCAGCGTGGAGGGGTCCAAATTAGATCCGTCAACCTGCCCGCCTGCCCGTCTCAGAAGAGTGCGGGCCCAACCCACCCGCATTCATGCGGGTAACCGTACTGTACGGGTCGGCCGTAATAACGAACGAAAAGGACAAGAAGAAATGGAGGCACAGGACGAAAGTGAAATAGAAGTGACGGCAGGACATGGACAAAAGAGCGGAAATGACTAAATGGAAAAAAGGACAGAATGGTCAAAAAAGGGCGACTGGACGCAATGGCCTCTGTTCCCCCACTGCGACCATACATGTAAGAGGGGGAATCTGAAGCAGTGAGAGTGCGGAGGACGAACTCTCAAATGACAAATGTTCTCCGCTATAAAGCGTCATAAACAGTTTCGAACACAGTCCTCCTTGGAACCTCTCTTACTGTTCTCCGGTGTCGTACAAAATAGCTTCCTCGGTTGTGCTGGAAAGGGCATTGTACCACAAGAAATTCTCAATCGAAAAGTGCACGTCTCTGCATTGTAAGATCGGCGCCTAACAACTTTTCAAATTATGTTCTTGTTCTTCCTAGAGTAGTGGCGTCACGAAGGGCCCATTTTTAAGGAAGATTCGCGATTGTAAGAAATATTAATCACTTGATGCTTTCTGTGATATATTGCGAGAGTTGATGATAAAAGAAGAACGAATGATTTCCGCTTCGGTAGCTTATGTATCAATCAATAAATAAGCATCATTAGGCTTTCATAACAGGCTAAATTTCATAAAATTAAATAAAGGCAGATTTTTACACTGTTGGTTACAGCACAGTACCGTTGTTTAACAATAATCACGAACAAAGTGTCTTTCGATGTTTGGTTTGAAGTTTTTTCATCTTATTGATACGCTCGACAACGTTGCCAATGAATATGAATGTGTTAAAGGATATTTTTATTTAAGGAACTAAGGCTCTGTTCGACATACAGTTTATATAGGGGTCCGGATAAAAAATGTTGCATCCATTTCGTTACGGCTACTGATTAGGCATTGGTTATGTTAAACATTGTGTATCAAAGTTTTAAATTCATGTAAAGAAACGTATTTACTAACAAATGGGAAGCAAGTTCAGCTAAAATTGAAATCGTCTTTTTTGAAAAGAAATTGCGTTATTGCTTAAACAGAAACAATTTAGACTAATTTATTTTTCACTTTTTTAAAGAAATATTTAAATGCTACAAAATATAAACTGTAATGATTAAATAAATTAAAAGATTTAGTATTGTACAAAAGGCATCTAATAAGTACGCAGTGAAAGAGCACAGAAGCCGCTTATGACCTTTCTCGAATTTTGTGTGTCGTTCCGCTACTTTCCTGCTTACCTATTATGTGGTAACTGCTGCATAAGAAACTCACAATCTTAAACGGATTTTTTCTTTCGTGTCCGTTAAAACCCCAATTATACGGTACGTATGAAGTGCAGGTGGGTTTGACCGTTAAGAATACTCGTATATACGGGTCCTAGGCACCCGCATGACTGAAGACGCGTATAACTCCAGAGTTCACATCCCTAGCCTCTCCAGGCAGTGTAGGGAAGTCTCACCTACCGTTCATATAATTTAAGTCAATTAAGCAACATGGCGAAGTTTGAACGGCGTCGAGAAGGAGCGTAGAGAACTCCGTAAGACCCTTCCTCGATTTATTTGTTTTTTGTTCGCTTGTTTCCTGCTCCGTTTATTATGAGGTAACTTGCGCATTAATAGTTTTACAATCATAACGGAAAATTTCTTCTGTTAAACAAATTCGCAATGATACGCGCGTCCGCAGTGAATGCGGGTGGGTTGGACCCTCACTATTCTGAAAGAGGTTGGCGGATCTGCGTGTTTTCAGAGCTCTAGAATCTCGTCACCTGAGTCAAGTCTGTCTTATAGTATTTATGTAATATTTGGGTGAAGTACCTTGATCACGAATTGTTTCTGCGATTCCTCTGTAGCAGTGTTGAAGTGATTGCAATGCAAGTGAAGGTATAGTCATTTTGGCTGTGGGGCTTTGAATATTTGCTCATGTCTGTCCCATGTGTTGGAGGGAGCTCGTACTCAAAGAATTCGTGTGGTTACTATGGTGCTATCAAATTAGACCGACTGGGGCTCGAAGCACTGCAAGTGGAGGAGGCAGCGCCAACAATGAGAGCTGCTGCTTGGGAGGCACGTAGTTGCCACGGCCAATGCTTCGTTAACGCAAGTAAAGTGTGCCGGGCGGTTTCGCCTAGAGAGGGCAAGGACAGATTTAGGACCGTTTGGCACTCACCTGTCAGACTTTCTCGCTTGCGACGAGGAGCTACCTGACGACTAATGTGCTCTTGTGCATTGGACCCTTTTGTTTTGGAGCAGTGTTTTAGTGAGTTGTGCTGTTACGGTCAGGTAATTTATGATGAATATTATATTGAGAGGAAGACCCCAGAAAGCATCCTCCCAAAGAAATAATTTAGTTGAGTTTCCCTTGTTATGTCAGTCGCGTCTGAAAGAGAATTTCCAGCAGGAGAAATCAAACAATGATCCACGGTATGCAGTAAGAAAAGTTGTAGAGTGAATTGAGAAGCTTTAAAAAAATTTAAAGACACTTCTTAAAATGGGTGAAGATGGAATGGGAGCTGAGGATGAGCAAGGGGAATCACCTCAGAAACAATAAATTCAATTGTGCCCTAGCGTAGAGGGTACTTCACGCCTTTTGAGGAGGAGGGCAGGGCTTAGTTCTGCCGCCCAGCCAACGGCGCATCCTGGCGGCACAGTGGGTGGGGTGGGGGCGGTTGCAACGGGACGGCTCCCTTTCGAAGTATCTCGTGAAGAGACGGAATTGGGGCTTTGGAATAAATAATTATTTCGCGACCTGCCGCACGAGGCAAGTGTTTTCAGGTGGGATGATGGAAGGAGGCTCTGTGCCTTCGGGAACTTCGCTAGCAGGAACTTTTTGTGGTTCTTCACGGGGACGAGTCGTGAGGTTGTCGTTCAGGAAGGTGACGCGCCTCGCTTCAGCAGTTGCCTTAATTCCCTCGCCGTCAGTCATTTTCGTGTATTCTTCAATTTCTGCGGCTGTTTCACTGTTTTCGGTGGCGGCTGGGGCCGCGCCTCTTCCAAAGAGCGAAAAAGGTTCGTGGGAGTCTTGGAGAAGACGAGGCCCTTCTCGTCGATGGCTGGTGAGTGAAGGTGACCTTGCGCCGTCGGCCTCCTTATGGGAAAATAATACTCCCGTCACACTGCAATATTGCGCCGCCGTCGTTCCCAAGGCGGTAAACCGTCGTCCTCACCCCAGGAGAGCCGTCAGCTCTTTCTTCGCTTCCACGGATACCTTCTCACCTTCCAAGAGCGTAATAACTTGCTCGTCATGTTGTCGACAGTCTAGAATTACGTGTTTATATGAAGTCACTCAACTTATGCGCTCCTCGCCGTTTAATGTACATTTTTCATGGCTGGAATAAAGAAAATTTAATTCACAATAGGAATCTAGTTCGGGAACAGAATGGAAATCCTCTCGAGAAACTAGAATTCCAGAGGACACTGATTCATCTGAGCGTGCAGAAGTGGAACGTTCACTGGGACTGTAATTGACAATCGGAGCACATTGCAGAGATATATCAACGGTTATTAAATGTGAGACCTAACCTGGAGGTCTCTTGGGACCGGTTGCCGTAGACTAAAACTGTTCACACTCCGAGAATTGCTGGGCCATTTCCTTAGCTGCCGCACAAGCTCCTATCGCCTCTATTTTATAACGTACGCCATTCTACATGAATTGTGCAAACAAAGAGAACTGTAGTACTTGGTAACGTTTTGACCCAGGATTTGGATCTGGTAGACTTCCTTCTTT